GCCTTTTTTTTTTTTTTTTTTGGTACCAGGGATCAAACTCAGGACCTTGTGCTTGACAGGCAGGTTGGTACCCCTGAGCTAAATCTCTGGCATTTTGAAAGAAACTATAGCGGACCCTAGACTTACGAACTCAATTTGTTCATGAGGGTTGGTTGTGACTCAAGTTGGTCAACTGAAGGCTCAGGCTCCTCTACACAGCCTTCGAAGTATACAGGCAGATCTCAGGGTTCTTATAGAGACACTGGCCCAAGATTTCTCAATTAACACCACACAGGAAAGGATTCCAGAACTCTTTAAGGGTTAAATCTGTTTTTTGTTTTGGTTTTGGGTTGTTTTTGTTTTCCCCCCAGTATTGGGAATAGAACTCAGGACCTTGTGTTTGCCAGGCAGACATGGCACCACTGAGCTAAATTCCTGGTCCTTTAAGGGTTAAATCTGTATCTGAAACCATCTGGAGGCACAAATAGTATTTGGGTCATAACTCAAGACTTTGGCCATAATTTAAAACTAAAATTCTGGTCCATAACCCAAATTGTTCATATGACATACGTCAAACCAGTTATAACTCAAGGGTCCATTGTACCCTGGTAACGCTGTCTCCAGACCAGCCAAAAGGCTCATAGAGCCAAGTTTGGGACCAGTCTCACTCTGTCTTTATTTTGCAACTACTGTAGTTGTAAAAAAAATCCATAGTCTCCCCTGCCCCACCCACCATGGTGCTGGAGATGGAACCCATGACTTCAAAATGCTAAGCACATACTTTACCCCAGACCAACAGTCATGTTTTGGTTCAATTTCCAAGTCCCTTAAAACTACAAGCAAATCTGTATAATGATTGCTCCCTAGACTGTTTTATCTACTTTACAGGTTAATTATGAAATACAAGGACCCTGTATGTAGAATTTCTCCCTGTCAAGAGCCATTTTACATAAATTTTGGGGGAAAATTTTATAGATTTATGTAGAAAGAGTTTTGATAAAATAAAAATGAAATGTGTGAGGCTGGAGATGTAGTTCAGTAGTAGAGGGCTTGTCTAGCATGCATGAGGCCTTGGGTTCAATCCCCAGCACCATATAAGAAAATAATAAGTATATGAATGTAAGACAGTAGTGGTACTCTTGTCTAATTTCCCTTGCTTATGGAGAGGATGTATCTATTGGCTGCTAGCCAAGTTTCTTTTGTTCCATCCCCTTTTCCTGTTCAGCCCTAGTCTATACCATTCTTATTGTTATTGAAATAGCTGCTTTTACTTAAATCAGGATCCACCCTTCCCCTCTTTCAAAGCACAACTCAAAGCCACCTCCTGTGGAAAAAGTTCAATTCTGCAGAAGGAAATGATAAACTTCCAGAGGCGATTATACCACTCCCTCAGGTTCCCTCAGTCAGCATGTGTTTAAGTGTCTGGCCGGTTACACAGTAATGGGCACTTTTGTAGGAGCTTCATGCAGCACTTTTACTTATATTATGACCCTTAAAATTTTTGTTTTCAGCAATGTTAGGTATTTTTAAAAATTAATATATTAAGGGCAAATGACTTGTCCCACAGCAGTATTGAATAGCTTGCGATAAAAAAGGAGAGAGTCACAGATCTCTTTGCCATTAACTAAACAGATTGAGTATCTTTTATTCAAGATAGGCGACGGACGGCACCTCTGGGCTAAATCCCCAGCCCAAGTATCTTTTATTCAAAATGCTTGGTGGGCCGGGGATTTAGCTCAGTGGCACCACGCCTGCCTCAGCAAGCACAAAATCCTGATTCAATCCCCAGTACCACCAAAAAAAAAAAAAAGAAAAAAAAAAGCTTGTTATCAAAAGTGTCTTCAGAAGCCAGGCAAATTGGCACACACCAATAATCTCTGGGAGGCTGAGACAGGATACCAACTTCCAGCCCTGCACTGTTGGCAATTTAGTGATTTAACGAGACCCTCAAAATAAAAAGGGCTGAAATAGCCAGGCTTGGGGGCACACGTCTGTACCCCCAGCACTCACGAGGCTGAGGCAGTAGGATTGCCACGAGTTTGAAGCCAGCCTGGGTTGTTACATAGTGAGTTTAAGGCCAGCCTTGACTAAAGGTGACACCTTGTCTCACCACCCCACCCCACCCCCATACACAATGTAGCTCAGTGAGAAGGTCCTGGGTTCAATCTCCAGTACTTGGGAAAAAAAGTATCTATAATTTCAAATTTTTGAATGTTTGCATATAAGTGAGATTCCTTTGGGATAGGACCCAAGTCTGAGCACGGAAAAATTTCTTTTTGTACTGGGGAATGGAATCCAGGACCTTGCACAAAGTACTCTGATAACTGAGCTGCATCCCCAGCCCTTTTTCATTTTGAGACAGGGTCCTGTTAAGTTGCCCACTGACCTCCATTTTCACAAATAACACATACTGTACTTCCATTCCCAACACTTAGTTGTAATACTGAAATCACAAGTGTGATTTGATTACTGCCTTTCACAAAGAACTAATAAGAGCTCTACAATGGTGATGACATCTGGTTTTCCTCTCCACATAATCTCCTGCACTTATTGGGGCACTTACAATGCAGAAGTTCAATTTTGTTGGACAAACAAGAGAGATCTAAAAACAAAATTTTCTGATTCGCTGTAGATTTGATCACTTACTCTAGGAAAAAATACCATGTTAGTGATGCGGAAGACAGCAGAATGAGGTAATGTGGTTATTGCACCTGAGACAGAAGATACTATACACTTCAAAGGACTAGACACCGCTGAGCAAAATTCATTGGGATCATTTGTAACAGTTCTATTACGATATCAGAACTTCCACTAAGGAAACGAGCACCACCGAGGAGGCAAGCGCTAGACAACAGCTCGTTCTGGCTCAATACCAGCGCTGTTTCGGCTCCTTATTTCCGTACGACCCAAGATGGCGGAGCCCGTGATTGAAAACCGATTCAAGATGGCGGCTTCCGACTTCCCCCGCAGTACTGCACGTGGCCGCCGAGGCCACGCCCGCTTCCGGCTCCTCCGGCTCCTCCGGCTCCTCCGCCTCAGCATGGCTGCTTTGGGGGCTCTGCTCTCCCGTGAGTGGGTCAGGGTCTTTGGATTTGGGAACCAGAGAGGGGCGGGCCTGCGACTCCCGCACTAGCTTGCAGCCGGTCCTCTAATTCTGTCCTGTTTCCCCAGGAGGTGTCCGGAGGCTGCACTGCAGCGCGTCGGCTCGGGCAGGCAGCCTGTGGCGCCTCCAGTGAGTGCTGGGTCGGGGGTGCGGGTTCCCGCAGCCAACCAGGCCCTCACGGAATTCTTTTTCTCCCCGCAGGCAGGGCCTGGCCGCCAGCCCTTCCGGCTACGGGCCGCTCACCGAGCTCCCGGACTGGTCTTTCGCGGGTGAGCAAGGATCCCAGTTTACCTGCGCGATTCCCCACTCGGAGTGGCGGGAGGGCGGGGCGTCTCACGGGAGCGTGTCTGGCGCGGAGGTTTTGGAAAACGGAGTTTGAGCAAAAAAGCTCTCTTGTTTATTTTTGTCAAGTAAACCGCGACTGCGGAAAGTAAAGATAGAAAGGATCGTCTTGGTTTCTGGGGATGGGAGAAGAAAATTCACACGGGCCACCCTGGGACTGCAGGAGGTGACAAGACAACATTACTCAAAGGGGATGTAATATTCAAATAAGAACAGCCTTTCTTTGCACTGAGTACATTTGAGAATTTGTACCAAATCCAAGAGGGTGAAGACAGGATGGAATCCTCTTTTAGAAATCTTTACCCTTCCTGCCTGGTGGCGCACATCAGTATTTCCCAGCATTTGAGAGGCTGAGGCAGATCACCATGAATTCAAGACCAACCTAAACTACAGACCTAGACTCAAAAAAGACGACAAAAAGAAGTCTTTTTCCCTTAAAAAGATAGAGCCGGGCGTGGTGGCGCACATCTGTAATCCCAATACTAGGGAGGCTGAGGCAGGAGGATCAATGTGAGTTGGAGACCAGCCTGGGCTACATAGTGAGTTCCAGGGCAGTCTCAACTACATAGTGAGATCCTGTCTCCAAAAAAAAAAAGCCAAGCATAATGGCATTTGTCATCGAGCAATTTAGGAAGCTGAGGCAGGAGGATCTTGAGTTGGAGACTATCCTGGGTGATATAAGAAGACCCTGTCTCAAAAAGAGAAGGAAGGGGAAAGAGAATGTAGATATTTTCTAAAGGGGGGGAATCTCTGAGTCTTCCCCATTCTCTGTATGGATTCCCTTTACAAGTAGGAAAATTGAGGCATGTAGAACTGAAATGCCCGTGATCATACAGCTGGGTAGTAGCAGAAACAGCCAGAACTAGAACTAAGCTTATAGCAAAGCCTCCTTCACAACACAGTGACCCAAGTAGTAATACCCTATTGGATTCTCTAGGAAACCTGGTCTGACTTTTTCAGATAGGTGGTGACAGGATTGTGAAAATGTTTCTCCGTTTGTAGGAAGCCAGGGACCTCTTTGTAGTAGTGTGAAGGAATATTACAAAGATTGGAATTTTATATACCTGATTTTCTTTTCTTCGTGTTTTTGTTGTTGTTGTTGTTTTGTTTTTTGTACCAGGGATCGAATTCAGGTCCTTGTGCTTGCCAGGCAGGCAGTGGAACTGCTGAGCTAAATCCCCAGCCCATTATTTTCTTTTCTTTTCTTTTTTTTTTTTAACAGTGAAGGGGACTGAACCGAGGACCACTTGCATGCTAAGCAGATGCTACCGCTGAAGTCTACTCCCGACCCCCCTGTATCTTTTTTTGTTTTTTTTTTTAATAGGGTCTCATTGTGTAATCAGACTGGTCTAGAACTTGCAGTCCTCTTGCTCAGCCTCAGGACTAGCCTCAGCTATGTACCTAGTTCTTTTTTGGTTCTTTAGTTTTTTAGTTCAGGGTGGCTTTGAACTAACTGTATAGCCCAGGCTGTACTTGGACTCAAAAGAAGTGACCTTCTTGTCTCAGCCTCCTGAATGCTGGGATTACAGTTGTGCACCACCATCCCCAAATAATCTTTCTTACCTGTCTTGCCTTCAAACTTTTGGGCATAGTTTTCATTGTTTCTTTGAAAAAAGTAAGTGCCTTTTTTCCACATCTCTTTTAATAAACTACTTAAGGTCAGATAACTGCATATTTTCAGCAAGTCAGCAGATACTTATGGAATCTTCATGACATGTTTATATTGTGAATTGTGAACGCTAGCAGTACAGACCATGATTTCAAGAAACTTAAAGTCTTGCTGTTTTTCCATTTAAAAAATTAAATAGTATTTCAGTATTCCATCCCTTTCCAGAGGATATGAGATAGCTAAATAATGGTAAAAACAGCAGTACAGTAAATGGGCCAAGGCAAATAGATGAATATCAATTGAGCTTCTTTCAGAAGAGAGCTAGCATATGTGAGGCCTGGATTGAATCCCCAGAGAAAGAGAAATGATGAGCTGGGCGTGGTGGAGCACGCCTATAATCCCAGCATTTAGGAGGCTGAGGCAGGAGGATCCTGTGAGTTCGAGACCACCCTGGGCTACATAATGAGTTGCAGGTCTGTCTCAACTATATAGTGAGACCCTGTCTCAAAAAACCAAAAAAAAAAAAGGATGTATTTGATGAGATTGGAGAAAAGTTTCTAGGAAAGCTAGGACTTGATGGACTAAAGGATGAGGACATGGTTAGAAGGGAAGGAAAGGAGGGTATTTCATTGTAGAGTGAAAGATTTAACAGACATTGCCTGAGTCCTTTTGGGTTTTTGGTTTGGAGAAAAGGTCTTGCTATGTATTTCACGCTGGCTTCAAACTTTCAGTCCTGCATCAGCCCCAGTGCTGGAATTCATGGCCTGTGCCCCACACCTAGCACATTAAGGACTTCTGAAGGTAAAATAGTGGATTTGGCACTGCAGGTTGCCTTGAATTCCAGGCAAAGGAGGGATAAGTCAATAGAGTAGGAGCATGCCTAGGCACTTGCTTACTGAGGGTCTGTTCTATCCTCCCTTGAAGACAAGGGACTTTCGATGAATTAAGCCATAGTGGATATGAAATAGGAGAGGAGCAAGAAGATTCTCCTTCCTGTCAGTGCTTGGACAAGGTGCTGCTGACCATGTCTAACACTTACCTTTTCTCTCACTTCTGTTTGTAGATGGCCATCCTGCTCCCCCAATGAAAGGCCAGCTTCGAAGAAAAGCCCAAAGGGAGAAGTTGGCAGTGAGTGGCTAGAACTCAAGCAGGGGTTGGAGGGATACTTTTAGATCAAATTTTGTCTTAGGTGTGTGGTGGCATAAGCCTGTACTCCCAGTATTCATGAGGCTGGCTAGCCTGGGCTACATAGTGAGTTTAAGGTCAGCCTAAAATACATAGACCACGTCTTAAAAAATATTGCCAGGCATGGTGGCATATACCTGTAATTCCAGCACTAAGAAGGCTGAGGCAGGAGGATTGCCATGAGTTTGAGACCATCCTGGACTATACAGTGAGACCCTGTCTCCAAAAAAAATTGTCTTGAGCCTTGTTACACCTAAGTTAACATAAATGCTGCATACCAAGGCTTAACAGCTAAACGCCTTAATGACACTGTGAGAAGGGGGTGGACTCAAGTGGGGCACTCCTAGGGCAGAAGCCAGTACTGGGCATTCTGCCTCACGTTTCCTGACCTCCCTCTGCTTCCCAGCCCAGGACTTAGTGCCACCCGTTCCCAAGTCAGCAGTGTTAACTTCAGCCAAAGCTTGTGACTTGGTGAAAGAGAGGATGTGCGGTGCGGATACTATCCATGGATTTCCTGTCTGTTTCAGAGACGAGTTGTTCTACTGTCACAGGAAATGGATGCTGGGTTACAGGCCTGGCAGCTCAGGCAGCAGGAGAAGATGCAGGAGGAAGAAAGGAAACAGAAAAATGCTCTTAAGCCAAAAAGGACCTTGCTGCAGAGCCCACTACCAAGTCAATAAAAAGCAACTCCCACGCCACTTCCCCAGCTGTCTTTCCCATCACCTGGATGTCTCATCTCAGCCAGAAGAGAGCCTTTATGTTTTGTCTTTGGAGCCAAAGTCAGTGTCCTGATCCCTGGCCCCGTCCCGCTTTGGCCAAGTGTTGCTCTGGGGTTTTTAGCTGCTCCTTCGCAGGCTACTGGACTGCCCAACTCTGAGTAGTAGCCACTCTGTGAACATGAAAAATGGACAGCAGTTCTGGCTTTAGCCAGCACTCATGTCTTTAATAGCTCCACCATATGCTATTTAATAAATGGCTTAAAAAAGAAAAAAATAAATGTTTAGATGAAAAAGGCTTCCTAGCTGAGATCTTTCTCACAACTACTTGGTGTCAATTTCCCCAAGGTTCAGGAGGATCCCCTCCCACTGCAGGGCTGACATGGGAAGAACCAGATTTGGGTGTGGGTTCTGACACCTATAGTAGTTTGAAATAAGTTCCAGGGCTTGGCTGAAGAAAGGCCTACACCTCCCCGCCCCTACACAAGAGCTCAGCCCCCACACAAACTGGAATCAGTATCATTCCCACCATACACCTCCCACAGACTCGAAGTTGCCTGGAACCTGGGCATTTTATTGATCATGACCCTCTGTGGATTCCAGGGCAAAGGACTTTTGCCCCTGCCCAGGACAGAGCACTGGACAACCGTCTTTCTGCCACAAACGTGACAGTTCCTGGATCCCTAGCATTTCTAGGGCTTCCAAGCTGACCTTATTTTTGTCTACCCTCTCCCCTTCATTCTTTCCTTGCTTGCTTTCTTCTCCCCTCTATGTCTTTTCCTCTCGCTCACCAAATGCAATTCTTGGATCTTAGATTTCGCTGATGGTCATTTTCTGTCTCCCACACTTTTCCTGCTTCTGTTGCACTACTTTTCCAGATCTGTTTCTCAACATCTACCTCGCTTTCTCAGCTTTCTCACCGACAGTCTTATTCTGCCTTCCCCATTCCCTGCATACCTCACCTTTTGTCCTCAAGAGTCCAGTCCTTCAAGATTTTAGTCTTAAGTAATTGCCTTCTTTTCCAAAGAAGAGGAAGAAATAGGGCTGGGCATTTAGCACAATGGTGCCGCTGCCTGCCTCGCAAGCGCAGGGATGACCTGCATTCGATCGCCGTACCAAAAAAAAAAACAAAAAACTGAAGAGTCCTAACCTCCAGTCTCTTCCTCTTTTCCAACAGTTTCACCAAACTTGATTTGCTTTTTCTCAGATTCCATGTTTTTTACCCCTTCCCTCCCCAGCAATTCTAATTTAGGGAGCACCCAGACTGTAAAGGTAGTGTAGGGGGAACATATCTGTCTTTATACAAGGTTGGACCCCCCAGACCCAGTGTAGTTATGGGATTCGGTAGTTGGGTTTTGCTGCATAACTTGATGCAGCAGAGGTGACTGCAAACAGGTCCCAGCAGGCAACCAGTGTAGGAACATAGAAGACCCCTCCCCACCGCCGCCCCGACCCAGTATTCCGCTGTAGCCTCAACCCCTGTGCAGATGGCAGTGCAGGGTTGAACCAACCACGTCCCTAGGAAAGGAGGGCATTAGGGCGGGGACGGAGGAGAGGCTGTGGGAGAAGGGAGGGACCAAAAGGAGAGAGCGGAGTGTTCCCGGCCCACTTCGCCGACTAAGCAGAAGAAAGATCAAAAAACAGAAAAGAAGAGCAAACAGGCACTTTCACGAACAATCCCGTCACCTCCAAGCGGACCCACACTCTGGGAATCCAAGTTCAGCGCCTCCCGGAGACAAAGGCGCCCGGCGGGAGGGCGC